GAAAATGTTTTGAGAAACGATGTACAAATGCGCTTTACACAATTGATGTGTGTATGGATTGGGATAACAGTTGTATGATCCCCTAATAAAATGTTAAAAAAAAGAAAAAAAAGAAAGTAATGTCTAGAAAAGAATGTTGGCAACATATGTACAAATATGCCTGATGCAACCAATGTATGGATTGTAATGAGTTGTAAGAGCCCCCAATACAATGATCTTTTAATAAATTAAAAAAAAATTTAAGTCATTTAACCCCTGCCTCAATTTTTAAAAGGCACTTTTATTTATTAACTGGTATCTGTCACAGTATTAAAGGTTTTTGGATTTATTTTTACAGCATTCATTCAAGGCTTCCTGGATTTAGTTTTACAACAACATATGTTTTGGAAAACAGTTTGAAATCAAACAATATAATGATTCACTTCATTTAGTATGAATTACTGGCTTTACCTTAAATCCTTATAAAATGGATAAGTACTTAACTAACAATACACAATATACCTGGAAAGGAGGAGGGTCAGGAGGGAAGGAGGAAGGATGAGAAAAGACGGAATGGAGGGAGAAAAGGGAGGAAGAGAAGGGTAAAGCAGGGAAAGAACAAAGGGGCAGGAGGAAAGGAACACAAAGGAGGCCTCAGTCTGAATTTGATACGCGTTATGGTCGTCATGCGCATCCTGTAATTGCTGAATCAGAACCACCTCACAGCAACTTTATTTGCACGTGCTCATGATTAGGAATGGTGGTATATCAGAACAACCAGTCCTCTAGGGGAAATTATGTATATGTAATACATACGTTTATTATGTTTTACTGACACAAAGGATGTGTAGCACATTTATAAAAAAATAACAAAATAAACAAGGTTCATTGTTTTAATTAGCCAATTGATTCTTTCAGAACACTTTTGTTCATTTTGTCAATATTTGCTATCTTCTGTTCAAAGACAATCAAAGGATCTAAGTGGCTTAAAAGTAGCTCAGATATAAATCCTGGTTAATATTTTTATGTTAAAAAAGTAAGATGAAAGCGACACAATAGGAGTCGCATGTAGGAACATCATTTGTTCGTCAGTGGCTGGGTGACTTTGTTGTTGAATGGGTAATCGTTTTTGAAGAGTGAATAATAAGTTTCTAAAATTTTTGTGCTAGTCACAATGGAATGGCTGCAGACCCAACAAACTTGAAAATTTAATCTCCAATACTAACATCTTGCTATGATTTCTTTAAGTTTAAAATTAAAAAATGAAACAAATCAAACTCTTGATGATTTACAGTGTTTTCTGATTTCCCGATGTAAATAGTCCCACAATGGCCAATATCAAACTATCAACATGATGCTATGCAACACAGAGGTGGTAAGAGATGTACAGATACAAGAGAGGCGAGTAGCCTGAAGGCATCCAGAATGGAAACATGTAACAACGGTTTAAAGAAGAGATGAGTTTTTATATTATCCTTGCTTGTGATATACTTAATTTTAAGTTGAATGATTTATGGAGAAAGATAAGGGTTTCCACTGCTATAAAGAGCGATAATCTTGGAAACTTACAGGGATAGTTGCACCAGGCCTATACGTAGTCACTGTGAGTAGGAACTGACTCAGCAGCGGCACGCTTGGCTTTTTGGTTATATAATCAAATTCTCTACAGTGACTGGGTTTAATAAACAAATCATACAATTTCTTTAAGTTTAATGATTGGGTCTCCCGATTTGAAATGAGGCAGTTCCCATGTATCTCTGAATAGGAAGCAAACTAAATGGGCCCTAGAAGATACAAATAATTATTCAATCCTAAACGAATTCTAGTGTTATCCTGTGTAGGAAAACCAGGATTAAGAAGTACCTAAAACCCTCCTACACTTTGTCAAAATGCAAAATGAAAGAGTCAACTGATATCTAAACAAAGCCTCCAATGATGATAAATGATTCCCACAACCTGAATCTCCTACCTCCAGATCCATACAGAATTCACTAATTGCACCACCCTGATATGGGACTGTTAGATTAAATCAGCCCATAATAGCAATGCTTGCACTTGAAACCTTCAATCAACAAATGTATTTAGCAGAGGCTCAGCACTCCCTATAAGTAGCTTATGTCTCTTCCCATACTACACTGCAAATTCCTTTGAGGGCAAAGATTTGTGCTTAGGGAATCTGCATAGCACAAACAGTTACACAAACTTTCAGGGGGAAGTGTAATATTGGAAACTATGCATCAAAGTACTATGCATGTGAAAAATTAGAACTTTGTAGCATTTTTTACATTTCTGCTCTTCTTTGTTTCAACATTTCCCCCTCATTTTGAGTGGGACCTGTAGGAGTGCATGAGATGGAAGGCAGGGAGAACGATCATCAGCTTGTTCTTTAGGGTTCCTCGAGGCTTCACTCCAGCTTTTCCTCCTCACTCTTATAGAATCCCTCCAGTTCTCTAGACATCACTAACGTTTCGTCGATGTTTATCAGATACGTATAAATGTATAGGCCATAAACACTATGCAAAGTCTAAGAACATAAACTTCAGCTTCTATTTCAGAAGCTGGAAAAGAGTCTTTAACATAAACTTCCTCAAAATGTGAAACTGTCAACATTTTCAATGTCAGTGACTCTCTAATACACAATTTAAGACTTCAAAATATGCCTTGAAAAGGCATTTATAGTAAAGATTATGAAACTCCAATTCAGAATGCCAAATTAATCATTATCTACTATGGATTATTCACTATTAAGAACTTCATAGAGGTCACATTTCCTATCAAGTCTACATGGGAAGATGGAAGATTAAAAAAAACCATGAAAGGATTCCAGTAAAAAGCATCCGAAAAATTGGAGCAGTATTTTAAAATAGTTGAAAAAGAATAATAAATGATACTGGCAAACTATCACGCTATCTTTATTTTTCAGAAGATTCTGGGGGTTATATATTGGCACTTTATTTTCTTTCTACCTTTTACGTTTTGGTGTTTTCTCTCCATGTTCTCAAACTCCAGTAGTCAAACCAAGCTGAAAACCACCAGACTTTCCTACCTCCTCCTCCCACTTCCTGTACCACTCCTATTTAATCATTCAGAAAGCTATAGCTATTACTCTTTCACCACTTCTTCAGGACGGACCTCAGTTATTAGCTAGACATCTCTCAAGCCACTCTGCCTACCTCCCCTGACCCTCCATTCGTCCAGTCCATTCACTGACAAAGCTGCCAGAGTTCCCTTTACGTAACACAGTTCTGATTACACCATTCCTGGCTTTAACTATTTCACTGGATACTCATCCCTTTCCGAATAAAGGTGAAATATTTTCCCAGAAACATAAGGTCCTTAACAATCTAACACGTCAGCTTCATCTCCCAATGTTACTCAACTCATATCCCACACTCCGGTCAACGAACTTCTCAAGTGCCAGGCTTATTTGCAATTCCAGCTGAACTTTACATGTACATTTTTCTGCTTGGAATGACACACTTTTCTTTCTATAAACTCCAACTCCTTCATGAACCTACTCAAGTCCCTTGAGAAGTCTAATACTTTCAACAGCAAGCTGAGCATTTCCTTGTTCGTGTTTTGTGAACAGCCAGAGAGAGACCTGTTCATCATTTTAACCCTTACAGCCCCAGTGCTTGATGCAGCAGTGGATAAACTTGATACATCTATTATAAAAGGAAATATTAGAAACTTGAAAATGCCTTATCTCCTCTTTGAGACAATATCAATCTGCTCAGTGGACAAATTATTACAAGTTGTTCTCCACGCAGGGCCATTTACATGCTAGAAATTTACCTCACATTTAATTTAAAAATTACAAAGCATCTACTATCCATTGGAATGGGGACCAACATATATTAACATACACAAATAATAAGGGACACTGTATAAATTAATAGTGTTCATATATGATTTATAAAACACATGTATAAATAAATATATAACTGAGAAATTGACTCATAATAAAACTTGATATCTTGCTTTCAAAAAATCTGATTTTCAAAGTATAAAAAGCTGAGGAAATTAAAAAAAAATTTAATGTTCAATATTACACAGTTAAATAGTAATTCAGTAGGAAAATATCTACACCAAACACACTGCATTATGGAGTCGGTTATATTTGGATTCGCTTTTACATCATAATTTCTAACCATGTTTATCTTTAACTAACTTAACTGTGCATAATTTGAGACTCACCGCTTATTTGGATCCTTTATTAAGAGCCCTGAAAGCAATGATTTTGCATCTGAAGAGAGTGTTCGAGGGAATTTAATGTCCTCCATTAGTATCAGTTCAAAAAGTTTCTCATGGTCCTGATTGTAGAAAGGTAACCTCCCACACATCATCTCATACATGACAACTCCTAGGCCCCACCAGTCCACTGCTCGACCATAGTCATTATCTTCTAATACCTAAAAAGGAAACCAGTAAAACACTGATTACTATTCTTTAGGTTGTAAAGCATTATACATAAAATGTAAGATTTTGACATAAAAATAAACGTCAACTTTTAAGAACATTTAAACTATGAGCCATCCTTGAAAAGATGTAAACCATGTCAAATATATGAAATGTTCAATCTATAGCTAGGAATTATTTGTATAAAAAAGGGGGAGGAGAGCAGGTGACAAAACAAAAGTCCAAATAAATGAGTACATGAAAAGCACTAAGGATCGAGTGAAAAGAGTATATATTCATTTTGTGTCTTAGGCCTATTGAATTTTTCATCTGATTCTACTATCATGAACTTTAAGTAACAACTTACAACTGCTCGGCCATCCTGATTAAAGAGCATATAATAGGTTGTTCACATTCTTGTATTTAAGAAAGGTAATACAAATTGAATAGTAAAAAGAGAGTAAACCAATAAAATGTAATAAGAAAGTATAATAACTGATAAAAGAAATTTCAAAGCTATCAGAAGCCTGTATATGTTTAAACTTTTTCAGGAACTATTTAATGAAAAGAGTCAATACTTAGGTTTGTTGTTTGTGGTACACTAAACTTTAATATCCAAAACTTCAAAATTTTCTGTTAAATAAAAATCATACTCAATATTTGTTGGTACTTAAATTTGTTTCTTAAAACTATGTAACATCCAGAACAAGTATAGTAAAAAATTAATGAAATTATCCGTTAGATTACATGGAGCAACCTGCTCAAATAAAAATATAACACCTTGCCATTTTCCCAGAAGAAAAAACGTGCTCTTATCTGTTTAGTTAGTTGGGTCTTCATACATTGGCATTTTCTTCATCTATGTAAAACTTTCAATATTTGCACTATTCAATTTGAAACATTTTTCAATTATTTTTTAAGTAATTTTTTCAATTACTTAGACCTTATTTTTTTGATCCTCTCAGTTTAGTAGAGCAGATTGACAAAGCCAGTGTGGTGAGGTGGATTACTTATGATTCTTCTACCCACTTCTCTAAAACACCAACCAAATGATTGGGTGGGAGCATGCAGATAGTGTGTGTGAGACACTAACAAATGGGATTGCTCAGTTTTGCAGTTCCACTGGGTACACGAGAGCTATCTCACAAGCAGGAACAGAGAATTGGTGGAGGTAAGCAGAGGCACGCTGGGGCACATAGACCATGAGATAGAGGCTATTAATAAGCCTTCCTCAATCCCAATGCCACATTTTCTTCATATAGCCCAGCTGCCTGGGTCAGTTGCTTAGAACACAGACTGAATCAAGATGGTGAAAGGGTACAACCACGATGCACACCTTTTCTCATTTTCAGCCACTCGATAGTCCCTGTTCTATTCCAAGGACCATTGCTTGGTCTGTAGAGTTTCTTCTCAAGACTATTCAGTTTGTTATCATCCACACAGCTCAATGAGGTTGCACAGACAAGGAAACACAAGTAGACCTCTTTCTGGTATTCTATACTTTCAGCCAAGAGCCACGTGACACCAGCAACATCCCTTGTTCCATGTCTTCTTCTAAATGCAGCTTGAATTTATGGTAACTCCTTGTCCATGCACTGTTCCCAATTTTTAAATGACCTTTAAATGACATTGTTCAACAACTCTCATTCTGTTGGGTCATCTCACTTGGGAATGGACACAAATATAGATCTCTTCTAGTTAGTTGGCCAATCACTTTCTTCTAAATTTCTTGATATAGACTAGTAAGTACTTCTAGTGCTAATTCCATTAAAATATATTTTTTAATTGATATTTTTTCACTTCCATTTTTTTAACTTCTAAAGATTAAACCTTATATTTCTGGTAGTATCTCTTCATGTGTAACAATATATTTAGGACCAAGGACATTACATAGGAGTCCAAATTATACCTGACAGAGTGACCCTTGTCCCCTTTCCAGATTGAGGTACTTGGTATTAACAAGGAAAGCTGTGGCTTACTGGAGTGTTGAGATGAGGGGGTTCAAGTTAATGTTTTCCAGCACGAGTAAAAACAAATGGGAAGTCTTCCTCTCAGGGCCTTCCCAGGGTTATCAGAAGAAAAGAACATATAAGTCTTTGTGGGAGCTGTAGTAAGGCTTAGATATTACACAGAAGGGAGTGGGGGATAAGTGGGAGGACAGGCAGGCCTACCTGTTCCGATCTCCTTGTCCCTTCTCTCTGTGACTTCTAAACCCCAGTTACAATCCCATAAGGCATTTCATCTCCAGGTCTCTCCCTTTTACTTTCTGCGGTGAGCACAAGGAAGCAAGAGGTAACTCTGGCAGGTGATCTCAGATCACCCAGGCTCCTAGTAGCTTTGGGGGCTGTAGACTAGAAGGGTGAACATGGAGCGGGTCTCCACTGCTACCACAAGCTAGAACGTGGTCAAGGGTTGGTGCTCGTCTGATTGGCCCCTGTATTTGATTTGCTAGTTCTTCCACCCAGATGACATGCACACATATTAAAGGCAAGAAGGGATTGAGTTGAAGCAAGGAGACCCAGGTGCACAGATTTTTTCTTACCTTCTGGACCTGGCAGGTGTCAGTGGCCTGTAAGTCCTGGCTCTGTGCCACTGCAGAGGTACCAGCTACCTAAGCCTAAGAAGCCTGTGGCAATAGGAGAACTTCATTATCTTGAAGTTTCTTTCCCATTTCATATTTCTTTCTAGCTATGGAATAGGGCTCTCTGCGTAGCTCCCCTCTCATATACAGCAGTTAAGGATGTGGTAACCTGTAGAAGTTAGAACGAGCATAGCGCTGGCATACTAGATTACATGTTGGGCTGTGAACCTCAAGCTCAGCAGTTTTAACCTACCAACTACTCCTTGTGAAGAAGATGAAGCTCTCCGTGCCCCTAACGAGTTATAATTTGGGAAACACCCAGGCAGGCTACCCTACCTTACTCTACAGTTCTACTTTACTCTATTGATAGGAGTCATACTTGACTCAATGGCAGTGAGTTTGAGAATCAGCAGTCAGAAGGAAGAAAATATCTTCAATCCAGTCCATGCTGAACCCACCAAGGGCAAGAATCAGTCCCCAATTCTTCCATCCCCACCAGGAAGTGGTCTGAGACTTATGTGCACTTGTGTGTACCCGTACCTGTGATACGTGGATACCTTGGTTGGGAGTGGGAGTCAAGTTTCCTGAGAGTATGACCTGTCAATTTCAGGAGTGCTACAGTTACTGGAGTTGGTCGGCTTAAGAAGCAACAACGAGGAGGATGTAGAGATTCGGGTGGAATTGGAGCAACAGCAATCTAGCTAAGAGAAATTACTAAGAGGCAGAAGATAGGCCAGTGTGATGGTGGGGCAGGAGGAAGGTAAAGAAAACAGAAGAAAGATCTAGGAAGCAAAGCTATTGATAGAGGTATAAACACAGGTGTGCACCTATGTAAATATATTAATTCATAAAAATAGAGGTATTGGTTTATGAACATATTTATATGGCAACAGATTGAGGAAATGAATGGACTTTGGACCTCTGCTGAAGCCCTCCCTCAATACAAGTACACTTTGTGCTAAAAACCTGGCATTCTGTGATGCTCACCCTCCCAACAAGAGAGCTGAAGACAAACTAGGTGCATAAACAAATGTGGTGAAGAAAGCTGACAGTGCCCCCTATCAAAAGATATAAAATCTAGGGGCTTAAAGGCTTGAAGTTAGACAAGTGGGCACCTAGCAGAGAAGCAACAAGCCCACATGGAAGAAACACACCATTCGTGCCATCATGAGGTGTTGAAGGGATCAGATAAAAGGCACTGGCAGACCCAAAACAAAACGAAACCAAAAAAACCCCATATTGCTGAGAATGAGAGGGGTCAGAGACCCAAAACCCAACTGTAAACAAATATGGCATCCCCTCACAGTCAGTGCACAGTATAGCACAATATTCCTCTGGTTCTTTGAGACTTCCTCATCCCCTGCTATCATGACCCAGTCCTGCCTTTCAGTTCTGGCTACACTGGAGCATGTACACTGGTACAGATAAGAGCCCACGACACATGGAATCCAGGTTATCTAAACCCCTCAGGTACAGAAATGGGAGTAGCAATTCCAGGAGGGTAGAAGGAAGCTGGGGGGGAACAGAGGAGGGGGGAACTGATCACAATGATCAACACATAAGCCCGTCCCACCCCGCCCCACCTCTCAGGGGGGATGAACAACAGAAACATGGGTGAAGGGAGACAGCAGTTGGTGTAAGATATAATTTATAATTTATCAAAGGGTCATGAAGGTGGGAGGGGGGTAGGGAGGGAATAAAGAGTTGATACCAAGGGCTCAAATATAAAGTAAATGTTTAGAAAATGCTGATGGCAACATATGTACAAATACGCTTGATGCAATTGATGTATGGAATGTTAGAAGAGCTGTAAGAGGCCCCAATAAAATGATTGTTTTAAAAAAGAATCATTCTAACAGGTGGTTGCTGCTGGTGGGAGGGCCTGAATTAACCAGGTGGGTGTGGGGCATCTGGGAGAGTTGTCCCTAGACACTGAGTTGGTGGGAGCTGGGGGAGACTCAACCCTCAGTACTGGGAAGGGAGGATGGGGACAGCAGGATAACAAAGTATGCCTCTGGTCCCAGTTCAGTGCTGTGGGCCTGGTATACTTTTGAGCAGTGCAGCTAATTATTCAGTTGATTCCTCCTTAGACTCAATGGGGTGGAGGTAGGGGAGTCACCTTAAGTTTACTGTCTCTAGCTGTCACTCCAAGGCCTTCCCTTCTGCAAAAGGTCTCAGATCAAATGCCAAAGGCGCTCAGCCTGCAGGTGGTTTCATTCTCTGTACTGGCTCCTGCCTCACACTATGGTTGCTGGTGCAACTAGTATTCTCACTGGCGGTACTTTCCTGTCCCAAATCCAGCTGCTGTATTCACCTTGTTTCACTTGGGATCTGCCTACACTGTCTCTGTCATAACAGAGATTCTGTGAAGTTGGCTTTTTCTTGCCTGTGCATGTGCCTTCTGTGCCCCCAAATCGCTGAATGTGTGCAGGG